GTTGTAAAAATCTCAATAGAAAATAAAAGTTTTATTTATATCGAATTAAAATCACAACTAAAATATAATAATTGTATGCTTTAATTCATGGAATCTAACTGTAACGGAAATTGTATGTAAACAAATCAAATGTATGACTTAAAAGTATAAATTGGATTTGAAAAGAACATAGCTGGAATAAAGGAAAAATCGGTATCCGTCTACAGGTACCTGTGGTAAGACTGATTTCCATAGCCCTCTGACGATGACCCAAGACCTTAAATTGGGGCAGAGATACCTCACTCGAAACACCAACCGAGTTTGGACCTTCATTCCACTTATAACGAATGTCGCGCATTGTATAGCCGACTGTTGATTATATATGGCGTACGCGTCATATTTATATGTATATGTATATGTACCGTTAGATGTGAATGTGTCAACGTTGGTGTCGTGGTCGTGGTCGCGGTCCATTTGCCAGTCGCCAGTCGCCGGTCGCCAGTCGCCAGTCGCCAGTCGCCAGTCGCCAGTCGCCAGTCGCCAGTCGCCAGTCGCCAGTCGCCAGTCGCCAGTCGCCAGTCGCCAGTCGCCAGTCGCCAGTCGTAGTCATTGTGCAAATGTGAATGTTGAGTATGAAATGTCCAAAGAAATGTTATTTTGATACGCATGTGTTAGAGGGAGATGACATAGGAGAATGGAAGCGTCAAACGATGGATTTGTTGGTCAATTTTGTCAACGTATTTTTTTTTTTTTTAATCCATTTAAATAAATTTCGGTTGAAGTAAATGGAGACGTATGTAGATTTGAAGAGAAATGCGATGTGAATATGATTTTTGTTCCAATTTTTGGTAGATTTTTTTTTTTTTAGTGCCCATGTGTTTTGTGGTAGTCCAAGTGGAGTTAGAAATTCAGTCCCGTGAAGCCGTTTTGTTTGTTAGTTTAGTTGGTCATAGTTTTTTTTTTTTGGTTTTGTTAAAGATCGAAAAAATATGCATAAACAAAGAATAAATACTGGTGAGACTATTAAAAATATTATAGTTATTTTTTGTTTTTTTTTTTTTGTTGAAAGACTAAATATCTTGTTTACATTTTTACTGAACTTAAGTAACTATATTTATTTTACACTAACATAACTGCATTACTGCCGATTTCCCTACTCAACTTAAGCTTTTTAATTGACTATAAAGCCTCATTGTTGGAAAACTTAATGTTAATTTTTTTTTGTTTTTTTTTTACACTACCAAAAATTTGAATATGTTTTTATTTACAAAATTGCCTATCAAAATCCTGTGTTCGCTGTAATTTTTAGAATTTTTTTTATTTTTTATTTTAAAGGCAACTAAATGTTTGTACCTAATTGCACCACCCCAAAAAAAAGTTATTTTTTCTTTAGCTGTCGGAAAAAGTAGTCAATCCATATAGATTTGTATGAGGTCGCTGAGTGCGAATCTGTTGGTAAAATTTAAAAGTGACTCGAAAAGTGACTTTTTATTGAAAGGTAGTGAGCCCGCAGCGTTATCGGAACGTTCTTCCAAACCGTAAAAGCCACAGCGCTATAAGTCATGGGTGCTCTGTTTGACCATGCAGGGGTGGTCGACACTGTTTTAAGTAAAAAATCAACTTTTTGCTGAAAAAAATGATTTTTTTTATCGGGTTCAGATGGTTCCTTCGATGACTATTCCGTTTTTTTTTTTTGCGTTCAGCAACTAGCGTTCAATACTATACATAATTAAATATGGGTTCACTGCTCAAAAGTTGCTAATTTTAAATTTCAATGCCTAATCGCGTATTATTATTTGATGAATTATAATTTTTTTCAATTATTAAATAATAATTTCATGTTCATAACTTAATAAAGGTGGGTTTTATTTATTTTTATAAATTTTCAAAAGGTTAATTTAAGTCATAAATTCGACTATCAGAGGTGGTTAATCGACTTTAAGAATCGAAAACCTGAAAGTCTATTCTGAAGTCATGAATCGACTCTGCGACCACCTTTCCCATCTCTAGGTGCTAACTGTTGGTTACCATTGGCCACTGCGTCTACTCAAACATTATGGTTAAATAAGTAAATTCATCCTAGTCCGGCTCTCTCACTGAGTTAATCAACTACAAAAGAGCCGCTGTAACTGACAATTCTCAACAGAATACCAACGACTTTCAAGGCCAGAAATTTAAGAAGTTAGGGTTTGAAAAAATGTTCCTTGAGCATGCTTTTGGACTTCTTTGCTGTGAGCCTTTCAAATATGGAATTTTTATCTGAGCAATGCAACAACTTTGGAGCACTTAAAGGACAAGGTACGTCGAGTTGTGGACTAGTAATGAGTCACACTGTGTGATAATTTCACGAAAGCTCCGCGGAAGATATTTGAATAATATTGGTTTCCGTATATAATCAAAATTTAGATATTACATTTTTTACTTTAGTTTCCCAGTAGGAAATTGCCAGAGAGTAAAAAAAATATACTGGATTTTACAAAGAAAAAAACGGATTTTTAGTTTAGATTTCACAGATTCGGATTCATAGCCACAAAATCTATGAGGATTGACTAGAGTCTTTTGATATAAATTTTTTTTAGGTGAACCGCAAACATCCGGGAAATCTCAAAAGTCGGAAAAAGTTTCGCTGAACTGTCAAAATTTCTAGGAAGACTACTTAAAAATCCAGTTTCCCGACCTTAAAGGAATCGCCAAATAATCAAGTAGTTATTTCGAAATTCTTATAAGTAAATTTACGCATCATCCGTTGGTGCAAGTGTGAAAATATTTTGCAATAAATAGTTTGGTAAATTATTTTTCATATACATAAAAGCTTAAGTATAGAAATATTTTTAAATTTTTTTGTAAATGCAGTGCGCTAGACGCAAATGCTAAAAATTTATTACACTTTTTACAAATACGTTTTATTAATGTACACAATTTTTTTTTTTTTT